AGGATTAGAGTCCATGACTGTCATGGTGGGGAACATGCCAGAAGGCAGGCTGACATCATGTTGGAGAGTAGCTGAGAGTTTACAACCTTATCTGAGTTAAAAGAAACTGAGAGAACTGCAAGGACTTGCAGAGAGAAAGAGAGAGAGACCCAGTGACACACCTCCTCCCACAAAGGCTACACCTCCTAATCCTCTCCAAACAATTCCACCAACTGGGAATTAAGCATTCCAATGTATGAGCCTATGGTGACCATTCTCATTCAAACAACCACATTCACTATATGCACTGACCACCACATTTAATTTTGGAAATGCCCAAGTATGGATGGCATTAGTTCAACAGGTAGATAGAATGTAATAACTGAGGAGTTGGGGATTTTGTGAAGAGAAGTCCAAAAGCTATACCTCTATTAGCCTGCTATACCTCTATTAGCCTGTACTGTATCTTTATGTAATATACACAAAGATGTCTGACGGGCTAGACAATCAAATGTGTCCATGCTTCACACTAACTTGCCATGTGTATTACTTGCTAAGTAGAGTAGCATTTGGGTTTCAAGCAGAGTGTGCTGCTCTCCTGAAGAAGGAAGCCTCTGAGAGTGTTGAAAGCTGGTCCAGTGTAGTAAAGAGTAAAGCAGGTGTGTATTTGACATGCACACAGAAAGGAGAAAAGTGGAGAATGTGGGAACGAGTAGCACACAAGAGTGGAGCAGCTCTCCCGCTTACGTCTGTTCTTTCTAGATTGATCTACCAATAAAAATGTGTTAAGTTTAGGCAAAAAGAAATGCTTACATATCCAAATAGTTGAAAGTGTAATGTAGTGTATAAAATGTGTTAATACCTACAGATCTGGAAAAAAGGTGATAAAGATTTTGTTGTTATTGTTTTTAACTTGAAAACACTTACAAACCCTGGAGGACGAGGTCTGTGGCACTGCTCTTGGGCCCATAGGGCCCTACTTGTTGGTGTGGGGAGAGGATGCTTGATTAGTTTTCACATCGTTTTCTGTACTGGCTTTAGGACAGCCTTGATATTATCATCTTAAGTCACCTAAGAAACACACTACATAATAAGTCCTCCATTTTTTAAAAGTTAAACAAAAATAGGTTTTGCAAATTTCTTCCAGAAATTACCTTCCTTCCACTTTGACTACTCTCCAAACCAGCAAATGTGATTCCTGCTTAGCTTCACACATCCAGAGCATTCACTGGTGAGAACTGAAATCAGAGCATCTAGAAACAAAGACATGGAAACAGTTCTATCCAGAGCCTCTTAAGCCCCCCCCCCCCATTATGTGAAAGCATCAATGACTCTGCCTCAGGGCGTTTGCACTTCAGTCCTCTGGGTTTCTTTTCACTCTTCCTGTGCTTCAAACAACTTCTCTCTTACCTCACTACCGACCTCTCTCCTCTGTTTCCTCATTCCTCTCATGTCAAACTACAATAAGTCTCCTGAAAGCAGTGATTTAAGGTTTTATTTTTTTCCCTGTAATTCCCAAACCCTAGATTTTATCTGAACATATTATACAACGTATAAATACCTGTTAAATGAACCTAGTCCAGTTCTTTGTCACTTGTTTTAAGAAGACTACTGGCTAATTAGTATGTACATAGAAGAAACTTATCGAGGCCTGGGTATCATTCAGTCTAAGAAGAGCTGTATAGATTCAGAAGAAGGAATAAAAACCACTTGGTTGTAGAAAGGCAAGTTCTGATGGAAAGTAAGGAAGTCGCTAACAGTTATAGCTCTCTGAAAAATGTATGTATGTCCTTCTGTTTGTGTTTCTACAAATTGGGGGACTGATTTGGGGATAATTATAGATACAGCCCAAGTATCTGTTCAAACAGTATTCCATCGCCTCTCACAGCAGTTCTTCACAGATATGATTCTGTGCTTGCTCAAACATTGATCCAATCTGCCCTGTCTCTTCCTTTTGTAAATACTTCCATTGCAGCACCGACATGATCATTTTCTTACATAGTAAGCCTATGCTGTTGTATCATTTGGAGTGAATAAGAGGGTGTTTCCATTCAGGTGAAAGGGGTATCCTCATTCCCTGAAATTTTTTATGAGTCAACCTTTCTATACGCCCAGTTCTTTCATTATAAAATGATTATGATTACTTCATGAATGTGCTATGAGGGATTAAGTAAGCCAACACACCTAAAGACCTCTGAAGTCTGTCACAGTGTTCTTAGAACTAGTTAAGTGGCATTTTCAACAGTGACTTAATTTTATTGTAGCTGACCCTAGGAGAGGCACTCAGAAGAGAGGAATAGGTAAGAAACTTCATGTAATGTCATCCAGGTGCTTCATTAAACAGCAGCTTCTTTCATTGACTCTTTGCTTTCTTTCCATTTTAAAGGGTCCTCAGAACACACTGGAAAGCAGCATTATTAGTTTTGCTTTCAGCGAATGCTTTAATGTGTTAACTCCGAGCTTTGTACTGGTGTTTGCGGAAGAGCTGTTGTTTCTCCTTGGGATCTTGTACAGTTCCTATCTTTGGTATAGGATGGTCTTTTCCACCATTCAGAACATATAATCTCTTCCTTCCTGCCTGCATAGCTTTACTTAGCTTTCCTCTCAATAAACCCCCTAGCACAGTCTTAATAATCTCCTCAAATCCTTTTTATTTCTTAACTATCTTAGTTGCATACTTTAGGACACACTCAAAGTTTTTTTTTTCAAATTTAGTATTTCCATAACTTATTACATGGCACATTGTTCTTTCACACATGCAACACCTACAGACAAGCTGTAAGATATTGTTGTTTGCTGTTTATGTTTCTTGAAATAGTTATGTCCTTTTCCCACCTCAATCTGGTCTTTTCAACTAGATTAAAAACTGTGCTTGGACAAAACTTTTAAGTAGGTGGTACTTTTTTAGATGAAAACATGTATCTACATTTCAAATTACATATATTTTCAAAATTGGTATTTGCTTTAAAAACAGATTTGGTGCTTGGTAAAACCACTGACAGACAACTTTAGCTCTCATGAAAGAGTCTTTGAAAATAGCCTAGAAATGGACCAGGGAGATGGCCCAGTGGTTGAGGGCATATGCTGTTCTTGCGGAGGATCTGAGTACAATTCCAGAACCCATGTTGGGTGACTCAACACAACTGTAACTCTAGCTCCAGGGAATCTGGCTCCCTCTTCTGGCATTCTTGTTTACCTACACTCATGTGCATATTTTCTTGCTCCCTTAAACACATACACATAATTAAACATAAAAACTAGTCTTTAAAAAAGGGAAAATAGGTTGGAAAAGAAAACATTTATTATGTTCAACCATGTTTATCAGACATATATAACTAATGACAGCTATGACTATGGCCTCCCCAAATCATAAACATTTAAAAGATTGTGAGGGTTTTTTTTTTGTCTTTTGTTTTTGCAGGTTTTTGTTTGTTTGTATGTATTGTAGTATGATTGTCTCTTGACCATGAACTTTGTAGATGACAGTGTCATGTAGCAATGTAAAGGGATGTCATGTAGCAATGTCACATGTCAGTGTTCCAAAGATCCAAATATTAGCTAACAATGAAAAGAAGGGCTTGCAAGCATAAGACAACACACTTGCTAAAAGTAGGCAAAAGAGTAACTACATAGAAAGAAGCCTTAGCTTTGGAATTGGTGGTGTATTCCACTATACTGAGTACATTTAAAGATTTGAGGTGCTTAACATAATGTAAAGCTGCTGCCACTATTTTAAAATCTGAGGCTTTGGACTTCATATCCTAAAAATTTTGAGCCATAGCCTATAGTAAGTAATGAAAGCCATGTAAATATTTGCACACCATGGTCTATTACTTTCACACATTTCATAGAAACTATTTACTATTACTTACTGATCTTGGACACTGTACTAAGACCTACAAAGAAAGATGTCTAAGCGAGGTGCTAAGAAGGTCCTCAAGATTGTCTGAGGATGCCTGTAACTCACTTGTCACTTGTTTGTCATTCTGAGCTAAGTTTTCCTGGACTGGGGGTGTGGTTCAGTAACATGCTGTCACTGCCCACCATCTACAGTGCCAGCCTGGCTTGGATATCCAACATTATCTTCCTTCCATCTTGTTCTTTCATGATATATTCTGTTTTATGTTCAAGTGGAAAGTTTTCTCAGTGTTTCAAAATTTATAGCTTTTTTTTTTATTATTATTTAAGCGCTATAATGTTCTAGAAATCTAAAAGATGAATCAAATTGTCCTATTGCTGAAACACTTCATGAGATGTTATACTTTCAATCTTTGTACTTAGAGTTGAGTAAAGGATGACTGTGGCAATTATAATTTAGACCTAGTTAGACTGGCAGGATTTTCTCTTTAAATTTTTCAGGTAAAGGAAACATTCCAAACTTTTATAACCAGTTATTGTTTCCTCACCATTTCCTTTCTCCCTAAAAACATGTGCACATTTGGTACCAATGAGTCATTTCATTTTCTGTGATGTTAAAATGTGAAGTTTACATTTTAGTAAGTCCACACACTTTGATTTGAAGGTGCTTGGAGTTGAATCCTAGCATTTTTCCCAGTTTGACCTCTGGTTTTCATCCAGAAGCATCTGCAATGATCGGGGTACAAATGTCAATTTACAAGCTAGATGCCATCTCAATGCTGTGTGTCTTGGAGCCTGAAAGGAAATCTACAGCGAGCTATGGTACCTGGGCTCCAGACATGGTTACCAAGGGGTCTTGTGGTCTAGGTTCTTGTCTGGTTTCCATGTGTCTCTGTAAGGCGGTATAATGGCTATGAAACATGTAAAGTTCCATGGCAGCTTTCTAGCACTTAGTTTAAGTCACTGTGGTCATTTTTTTTTTCACCTAGACTTACAACTTGGACATCCCAGTGTGAGTCTTGATTGTAGACTGGTAAAACAAAAGTCAGATGAAACCCAGAGGAGATAGGGTGGTGGTCAGTAAATACAAATTTTAGGGACACTGTCCCTTGGTTTTGATATTTTACAACAATGGTACCATTTATGATTTTATTTTATTTTAGCCATGCCCTTTGGGTTCCCGAGATTTTCGAGAAAAACAGTGTGCAGACTTTGACAATATGCCTTTCCGGGGAAAGCATTATAACTGGAAACCCTATACTGGAGGTAACGTATGACCCAGCAGAGCACTCATGCTTGAGAGCTCTGCAAATCTAAGAGTATGTAAATATACACAAGCAGACCTTCATGGACATGTTAGTTAGAATTAGTGTTTACTAGTCAAAGGAAGAAAATACTCATGTTATTTTACAAGTCTCATATTTAGCAACCCTGTGATAAATTATATGTAACAGTTTAAAAATTATTAAAAATTATATCTTAAAAAATAATTCTCTTTAATAAGTTAAAAAATTTCTAGAAAGTATGTAGACACATAAAATTTATAAAATATGAGCTCTGCTTGAGACTTTCCTGAAGTAAATTATAATCATTGAATATTTGCAGTTATCTCCTTAAAACAAAATATGCTGACATAAATCAATTCAACCAACTCCAAAGAGAAAAAGAAACCTGTTTATTTTTTTTCTTAGTCAAAGGCTAATGATCTTTCTAAAGGTCTATTGTTGGATTTGCTTTAATTTTTACTTTTTAGAAGTTATGGTGTGTGCATACATGAGCACGGGCTTCCCCAGAACTCTTGTGTGAAAGTCAGAGGACAAGTCACAGGGTCAATTTAGTCCTCCACTTTGTCAGGTCCAAAGGCTTGGTGGCAAGAGCTTGTACCCATTGAGCTAACTTACTGGCCACATCTTAAGTTTTGTTCCAGGTGAGACTTTTGTTTTGTTTTATTTTTGAGACAAGTTTTTGCTATGTAGCTCAGGCTTGCCTCAAACTTACTCTTCTATTGACTGGGCTTCCTGGATACTGGATATGCAATTGTGTGCTACCATGCCTGGCTAGAATAAATATTTTTCCTTGTCTGAAAGCATTTTGCTGCTTAATTTGGACATGTATCAAAGACTAATATTTGTCATTAAGCAGATTAGGTTTTTACTTTCAAAACATAAAGTACAATTTGTTGTATGGAAATTTTCAATGCACTATTAAAAGCACTGTTTTATAAAATCTTGCTTTAAAAAATTATACAAGGACAGAATACTTTTAAAAAGTTTTTGAGCATAACATCTGTGTACTGACCACCAATATTTTACCATTATCATTTTATTATATACATGTATGCTCATCTCCCTAGCCACTTCTTAATCATGCTGGTTTTGATGCATGTTAAATTAACCTGTAGCTGTTTTCCTCTGAATGCTTTGGCATGGGTACCATTGGCCATCATTCAGTTGACTGATCACTTTTTCTTTTGCCCTAAGAATATGGACAATGGAATGCATATATCTTACCTGTGTTTTCTCGGAATTTTGCCAGCTATGTATACCCATGATGCCTGAGTGAGATACAGAATGTCACCATTACCTCCAACATTACCCTAGTCCTTACTGGTTAATATCTATAACTGTTTTTCATAAACTAACAGTCTTAAGCAACAGACATTGACTGCTCCCAGTTTTGGAAGCTAGAACCAAAGATCAGGGGGCCTGCAGGGGTGAATTCTAGGGTGGGTCCTTTTCTGAGTTGCAAACTACCATCTTCTCATTGTTCCTACCATGATACAATGATACAAGATGGAAAAGCTCCTGGACGCTAATCCAATTCATAAGGGCCTAATTCTTATGGCCCAATTGCTTGCCAAAGGCTCCCTCTTCAAATACCATTATATCGGGCTTCTGCTTTGAACATAGACATTTGGAGAGGACATAAATGTTTAGTCCCAAAACAGTCTTCATATTTCTTCACATCCATAGTCAACTCTCCAAGAGGTAACCATTGCTCATCTTTCTTGCATAATGCATACCCAAGAACTTCATATAGTCTTGCCCATTACTATTTCTAGCCAGTGTTTTTTTATATTCATCCATGTTGTGATATGAAGTAGTTTAATCTTTTTGTTGCTGAGTGGTATTCTTCTGTAATAATCACTTTGTTTTGCTTTCTGCTGTGTATGGATACCTGGGTCAATTTTAGTTTTCATTTGTCATGCATGAACAAGCTGGTGTGACTGTTCTGTTCAGGTCTTTTATGAGCCTATGTTTCCCTTTCTCTTGGGTGAATGAGCAGGGGTGGAATATTATGCAATAGAACAGGTGAGAGTTGAGTTTTAAAAGAAAATGCCTGATGTTTTTAAAAAATGATTGTACCATATTACACTTCCACCAACAGCGGCTGAGAGTTCTATTTACTCCAACATCCTAACCAGTATTTGGTGTTTCCCTGGAAAGTTAGTTTGCGTTTTCAGGTGATTGGGTTGAGCATTCTCTCATGTACTTGGTTGTTTGTGTGTTGTTGTTGTTTATGTATCTTTTCCTCAAAGTTGTTTTCCTTTCAAACCATTTTTTAATTTTATTAATTTATTTTTAATTGATAACTATTTATACTTACGTGGTGCAGTATGGTCATTTGAGGACTTTGATGAACATATCATCAAATCAAAATTGTGTGACTGGTAGTACACACTATTATTTATGTGTTATGGGGCCTTCAAACTCTTCTCCAATTATTTTGAGGCATATAACAAATTGTCATAGACTGTAGTTGTCTGGGAGAACTAATTTCTTCTATCTAGCCAGATGTTGGCATCTGTTATCCAACTCTTCTCCATTTCCCTTGCCACTTTACTTCTGTCTCATACTGACCATTGTTGTTCTTCAGTGTGATCAACTTTTTTCTCTTTCACAGAAGAAGGAGAACATGTGGCATCTTCCTTTGTCCACTTGTCCTATTCCCAATACAATGTATTCTAGTTCCATCGGCGCTGGGACAAATGATGTGCTTCATTCTTTCCATGGCTGCATGATATTCCATTAAGTTTACTTCCCACACTGAAAACTTCACTTATCTATTGGCAGGCATCTTCACTGATTTCATTTGTTGGGTGTAGAGAGTAGTATATACTGCTGCAATAAACATGTATGCAGGTGTGTCTTTGATGCAAGGATCTCAGCTCCTTTGAACATATACAGTTATTAACATTATTGGTTTTCTGTCATGGTTCCACTTCTTGTTGTTTGAGGCACTTCTCTATTTTTCATAATTGCTATACTAATTTACATCCCTAACCATCATGCCTAAGTGCTCTTTTCTCCAGAGCACTCAGTATTTGTTACTTTTTGCCTTTTTAAAGATGTCTGCTCCAACTGAGATGAGATGGTATCTGTGTGAAGGTGAGAGATATCTAGCCTTTTGCCCATTTTTAAATCAGGTTATTTGGCCACTTGTTTTGTTTGAAATAGGGTCTTGCTCTGTAACCCAGGCTGACCATGATCCTCCTATCTCACCCTCCAAAGTACTGAGAATACCACTGCATGCTACCATGCCCATCTTGTTAGTTTATCATTATATATATTTTTTGCTTATTTTATTTTATTTTTTGCAACAAGGTCTTGTTTTATAGCCTACACCATATAATTTAAATGTATTCCTCTGTGTTTGTGTGTGTGTATGTATAGAAAAGAGAGAATAAAAGAGAATGCAGAGAAAGACTATGGTAATTATGATTGATTTTCTCATCAAATGTATTATTGATATATAAAATGCTACTTTTCTGTCTTGATTTTATGTATTCCAATATTAGTTAATTTACCTATCAGTTTTAATAGTTTTTGTTGGTCTATCATTGAGAATGTTCCCTATGCTGATAAGAATGTGTATTTGATGAAATGTTTGGTAAATGTCTATGAAGTCCATTTGCTATGTAGTGGAATTGGATGCTGTAGACCCGATGCATATATGAGCTATTTATTATTGCTACCTCCTCTTAGTCAATGATCTATTTATTAGAACTGTACAGGGATCACATCTCCTTTTATAGTAAAATTAAAGTCTGTGTTTGCTGATGAAAATATAGCTACTTGTGCTCACCGTTCATTTCTGTTCGTATGGAATCTCTCTTTTTAGCTTTTTATGTACATCTGTATGTATCATTACTAGTGAATGGAGTTTCTTGTAAGGAGAATATTGACAAATCTTTTTTAAAAATCTACTCAACTGCATTAAGTCTTTTGATTACAAATATTAGTCCATTTTCATTCAAGGTCCTTTTTAGTAAGTGAGGACTTGATTCAGTCATTTTCTCAATTACTTTGTGATCTCATGGCATATCCTTATTTCTCACACTCTTTAGCCTTGTGGTTTGGTGGTCTTCCACAGTGATAAAATTCGATTCTATTCCCAGCTTCATCTGTACATCTCCTTTACCTGTGAGTTTTATTCTTTCATGCATTTCCATGATGACAACTCTCACTCTTTTGCCTCTACATTTAGGGCATCCTTAATAGTTTCTTTGTTTGGCCACATTAGGATCAGTGAATACACTGTATTCTCCATGAGTGTTGTGTGTGTATGTAAAACCGATGTGTTTTCTACAGTTATTGGGTACAGTGTTCTTGTACATATCCATGAGGGCAGCCTGCTTGAGACTGGTATATAATCTTTTGCATTCTTTCTATTTTTTTTCTGCTCTAGTTCTACCAGCTATTGAAAGAAGTATGTTCAATATGTTTTTACTATATGGATCCACTTCCTCTCCAGACTTTTATTGCACATGTATTTGAATGTATTTCCTTAGGTTTATATACATATAGGATTATTTGTCTCAGAGATTTAATAATTACTGTTTATGTAATTATTGCATAGTCCATTAGCTCTAAATTTGTAATGAGATATAACTTAATCTAATTGGTTGATAAGGTCTTTAATTACAGAGTCCCCTCCGGTCTCCTCTTTTACAAAGTTATTTGTTATCAATATGTGTGTATATGTATGTGAAAGTGCTGTTACGTGCATGCATTGGCTTTTGTATGGAGGTCAGAGGACAACTTTTGGGGGGGGGGTCGGTTTGCTGACTCATTACTCTGAGTTCCAGGGGTCAAACTCAGGTCAACAAAAGGAGCACCTTTACTCACTGAACCATTTCACTGGCCCTGAAGTTCTTTCCTTCATGTGTAATTATGCCTCCTTTTCTATTAGCTTCCTTGAGAAATAATTTATAAACTGTATGTAGGCTGAGAGGATGTTTTCATGAATGTGTGCACTGTGAACTA